AAAATTATGGATTCGGAATATACCTGTTCTACCTTTTTTTTTTTTACATAATTTATTATATATCTCTCGCTTTAAACGTTTCACTGTGCATATTGATTTGTAACAAGAAGCACGCGATGAGTATCGAGAGCGGAAAGAGCCGCTTCGCGCATCGATTGCACACGTTGCATTCTGGCCTTATCGCGGTGCGCGAAATTAAAGTCAAGGCCTGACGCCGAAAAATAGGTCGCGGATATAATATATGCGCGACTGTGAAAATTCTCAAATCGCGCGCTTATACATCGGAGCGGGTCACGAAGCTATTAGCAAAGTTGTTTGTGTCACCGAATAGCTGTTCCTTTAAATATTCATCGCAATGGCGTTAAAATTAGCGCCTGGAGTGATATTAATTCAGTTTCACCATCTTCTGCTATTTACGCGGATCGTTGACAAGGCAAAATTTTTCATCGTTTATGAGTACATCTTTTCATCTTTGTTAACGGATATGTTAAGGATCTTTTGAATGTACAATATTAGCAAAAAACAGTCAAAATTTAAAAAAAAAGAACGTACATTTTATGTTTATATTGTCTGAAAAATTAAATAAATAAATTTGGATTGTAAAAAGAATTAAAGTATCACAAAATAATATAGTTTTTAACGTTTTCGTAAAAGAAAATAATTGTAATTAATATTTTTCCTAATTTATGACAAAAACTTTTGATCGTGTAAGAAACAAAAAAACGAGTAATTTGCAGAAAGAGAGAGAGAGAGAGAGAGAGAGAGAGAGAGATAATATTTTTCTACAATTTTTAATAAATAACTTTTAAACGAGTAAATGGATCTGAATCAAGTTTCGCACAAATATTTATTAGTTTTCTTAATATATGTGAAAATTTTGATTTTGTTGAACAATATTTTTTCCTTGTTAAATTTGTCAATAAGTGCAACAATACGCGATTTTCCATAAGAATCAATACCAATTTTAAATTTAAATAATTTCCAAAATGTTAAGATAATTGTGCTCAGGTTTTGCACAGATACTCATCAAAAGAAATAGTAGAACAGTCTACGCAATTTTCACGCTTTTGTCAATGTTTTGACATATAACATATATATCCTTAAGCACACGATAGGGAATTAGAATCTTTTGAAATATTTCCGATATACAAGAGGGTAAAAAATATTTTAAACTGACGTTCACGCGGTGTCTATCCGTTTGACTGGTTACGCAAGTTACTCGCGATTGAATTGAATTCTGTCGTGCACGCCGACGTTTAATCTCAAAAGAAGCCGCGATGGGGAATTTCATGATTGTGATCACTCCGCGGAGAAAAGTTTCCGAACCAATTGACGGATCGGAGTAAAAAAAACGCTATATATGTTCGAAAGCTCGACCGGCCCCGCGGGGCTCATTCCGAACTCGTTCGTGACACTTTTCCAGCCGTAGTGAAGTTCGCGAACGAGCTTATCCACGAATTAACCGCGAATCGATACGCGTCGATTTACGCCCGCATCGTCGCTCGTATTTTCCGCGCGTGTTGTTTTTCATGCTCGCCTCTACGCATTTATGAGCATCTCATGTGCGTGGCGAAAAAATACGATGACGCTTTGGCGTTTCGGATTCGAAAGCAACGCATCTCGCAAAACATTGAATATTTCTGTGTTTCCTTCGTTTAAATTCATTTCGCGTTATGAATTATTCAAGCTGCGATTTTATTGACTTCTGAATATTTTTTCAAAATATTTTCAGTCACAATATTTTGTAAGCCTTGTAATCTTCAAATTTTATGCGTACGTAAAATAAATATTATCTATTTTCATTATTTGATTTGCGAAATCAAAAATATTTGTAATATAATCGAATATCTTTAT